TCTCAGGCCATATCTAGTTTGCTTTAACAGACCCCAGAGGAGACAGGGCAGTGCATGGGCTCTGAGCTGAGCCCGTCTACCTCTGGCTCTATGAGTGTGGGTGAGTGAGTCCAGCATTCTGGAGCTTGGCATCCTCATCTGTGAAGTAGGGATCATGGCAATACCTTCCTCTAGGGTATTGCAGATGTTGAACAAATTCATACGGGAAAGGCACTTCACAGCTGTGCGCTCACTGCAGCCTTGACCCCACCAGCTCGAGTGATCCCTCCGCCTCAGCCACCCCAAGTGGCTGGGACTACAGGCATGTACTACTTTTTTTTTGAGACGGAGTTTCGCTCTTGTTACCCAGGCTGGAGTGCAATGGCGCAATCTCGGCTCACCACAACCTCCTGGGTTCAGGCAATTCTCCAGCCTCAGCCTCCTGAGTAGCTGGGATTCCAGGCACGTGCCACCATGCCCAGCTATTTTTTTGTATTTTTAGTAGAGACGGGGTTTCACCTTGTTGACCAGGATGGTCTCGATCTCTTGACCTCGTGATCCACCCGCCTCATCCTCCCAAAGTGCTGGGATTACAGGCTTGAGCCACTGCACCCGGCTATTTTTTTTTTTTTTTTTGAGACGGAGTTTCGCTCTTGTTACCCAGGCTGGAGTGCAATGGCGCGATCTCAGCTCACCGCAACCTCCGCCTCCTGGGTTCGGGCAATTCTCCTGCCTCAGCCTCCCGAGTAGCTGGGACTACAGGCATGCGCCACCATGCCCAGCTAATTTTTTAAATATTTTTTTAGTAGAGATGGGGTTTCACCATGTTGACCAGGATGGTCTCGATCTCTTGACCTCGTGATCCACCCGGCCTCCCAAAGTGCTGGGATTACAGGCTTGAGCCACCGCGCCCGGCCCTTTTTTTTTTTTTTTTTTTTTTTTTTTTTTTTTTTTAAATAGAAATGGGCTTTCACCATGTTGCCCAGGCTGGTCTTGAACTCGTGAGCTCAAGTGATCCACTGCCTTGGCCTCCCAAAGTGCGGGATTACAGGCATGAGCCCCGGTGTTCAGACTTTCTTTGTTTGTTTAATGATGTGGATAAACTATTTCAGTCAAGTCTGTTTCCCTTGCAGTGTGCAGCTTCTAATGTCACACCTCAGGTGGTGCAGCCTTGGACGTGTGTGCAGTCACCCAGAGAATGCAGCGTTTTCTACACCGCTGTCTTTGACTTTCTCCTTCTCTGTTAAGCTCTGTGCCTCTGTTGGTCTCACACCCAGCTATCAGCCTCCACTAACTGCAGGCTAATTGTTCTACTGTTTTCAAAACTGCTCTGGGGGTAATAATTGCGTTATGTGCTTCTCCAGGCCCAGCTCCTCTAAAGTGTGAGCTCTTCAGAGGTATCCATAAACGTGCTTAAGAAACCAAAAATTATATTATTTGTCATGAGTTTTAAAAAGATAATCACACCTAATTAGTATAGTGAGTCTTGTAACCCCTTAAGGCAAACCTAAGTAAAATCTTATAAAGATACAATGACCTAAAAATCTGCCATGCATCTACTCACTGGGGTAAAGCCTCTTCTGGAACTTTCATTTTCTGTAAACAAAACAAAACAAATACCCCACCTAAACTGAAAACATAAACAATAGGCATTAAAATGGGGGCCTGCCTTCTAGTTCCAAGCTCCTGCTCTTGGATCAGAGTGAACTCCAGCAAAACACCTTCCCTACCACCCAAGAGGGCAGATTTTCAGCAAATTTGTTGAGTGTGTGTGTTGGGGGAAGACACCGGCGAGTCCCACTGGTGTAGCGGCAGACAAATTCTTTGTCAGTTCAGCGAGTCACACCATGCCCTTTCCAACAAGAGCTGGGTCTCAGCCCTATGGGTGGGAACTTTCTTGGGTGCGCTATTTAAGCCCTAGGGATAGCAGTAGGGTAGTGGTATTTCCTTACATGCATAATTTCTCTATTTTTTTTTTTTTTTTTTTGAGACTGAGTCTCGCTCTGTCACCCAGGCTGGAGTGCAGTGGCTCCATCTTGGCTCACTGCAACCTTCGCCTCCAGGGTTCAAGCAATTCTCCTGCCTCAGCCTCCCGAGTAGCTGCGATCACCTGCCACCATGCCTGGCTAATTTTTGTATTTTTAGTAGAGACAGAGTTTCACTACGTTGGCCAGGCTGTTTCTCGAACTCGTGACCTCAAGTGGTCCACCTGCCTTGCCCTCTCAAAGTGCTGGGATTACGAGACATGAGCCCCCGTGCCCAGAGTTAATTGCTATATTCTTTCGAGCTCTCTTTACTTCTTTCGAGGCAAGCCCTTGTCACTCCAGTACCCTGTGGAAGTTCAGAATTCCTGATGTGAAACTCTTCCTTCCCACACGCAGATGCCAGGCACTGTGGAAGCTTTAGGTGCTGCAGGAGCCCCACTGTGTGAGCACCTGAAACCTGGAAGCAGAACCCTTCTCTTCTGCGATGTCTCTCCAGGACCCTTTACCAACAAAGCATAGGCACCAACAGGAAAAGGCAAAATATGTAGAGGTTCTGGCTCCATTTTCACAGAGCAGACCCAAATTGTGCGTTTGGAATGGAGAGGTACTCATTGGAGAACTGGCAACAACTCAAATGTCTGCCAGTAGCAGAAAAGGCAAAAAATTGTGTTCTATACATACAGTGGAAGGATACATATGAATGAGAATGAATGAACAGATATACACAACAGGGAAGAATCTCACAAACATGATGTCAAGTGAGAGACACTAGACATAAAAGAATACTATCTGGACTGGAGTGCAATAGCACAATCTCGGCTCACTGCAACCCCCACCTCCTGGGTTCAAGCGATTCTCCTGCCTCAGTCTCCCAAGTAGCTGGGACTACAGGAGCCCAGCACCACACCCAGCTAATTTTTATATTTTTAGTAGAGACGTGGTTTCACCATGTTGGCCAGGCTGGTCTCAAACTCCTTACCTCGTGATCTGCCTGCCTCGGCCTCCCATAGTGCTGGGATTACAGGCAGGAGCCAGTGTACCCAGCTGGACCCTGTCTTTACAAAACAAACAAACAGAAGAATTCTTTCTGAATTTAAATGAATAGAATGATTCGAAGTAAGACTCTGTCTCAAACAAATGATTCTATTCATTTAAATTCAGAAACCATTCTGAGTCTCTGCTAGTGGGGGAAGAAGAATGGCTACCTTTGGTGAGTGCAGTAACTGGAGAATGGGTGGTAATGGGGAGAAGGGAATGTGTGGGTGCCAGAGGTGTTCGTATCCTGATTTGGGTTGTATAGGCCTCGAGGGCCTGATCCTTCAACGGTAAGATAGGCCTTGGCCAGCTTTCCTCGTCAGGGTGTGTTTAGGGTGAGCACAGCACAGCTCATCCCAGCTCCCTAGCTAGCCACCCTAACCCTACTTTTGTTTTGTTTTGTGTTGAAACAAGGTCTCACTCTGTCACTCAGGCTGGAGTGCAGTGGCGCCATCTCAGCTCACTGCAGCCTCCACCTCTCAGCCTCACGCGATCCTCCCACCTCAGCCTTCTGAGTAGCTGGGACTACAAGTGTGCATCACCACCTCAAGCTAATATTTGTATTTTTTGGTTGAGATGGGGTTTTGCCATGTTGCCTGGGCTGGTCTTGAACTCCTGAGCTCAAGTGATCTTCCCTCCTTGACCTCCCAAAGTGATGGGATTACAGGTGTGAGCCACTGTGCCTGGCCCCTAACCCCAATTTAATGCTCCAATCGAGGCCACAGGGGAAACACAGAGTAGCCGAGTAGTTAAGAGGTTCATCTCAGACCTGGGTCTGCCAGACTTAAACCCTACCTCTCCCATTTATTAGCTCCATGGCCCTAGATGAGTTCTCTGCTGTCAGCATCTCGGTTTCCTCATCTGTAAGGTGGACATGATTATCGTGCCTGAGGAGTAAGTATTCATAAAAGAACTCAGGGGCCGGGTTTCGGTGGCTCACGTCCGTAATCCCAGCACTTTGGGAGGCCAAGGTCTGAGCATTACAAGGTCAGGAGTTGGAGCCCATCCTGGCTAACAGGGTGAAATCCTGTCTCTACTAAAAATACAAAAAATTAGCCAGGCATGGGGGCGGGCGCCTGTAGTTGCAGCTGCTCAGGAGGCTGAGGCAGGAGAATTGCTTGAACCCGGGAAGCAGAGGTTGCAGTGAGCTGAGGTTGCGCCACTGCACTCCAGCCTGGTGTCTGGTGACGAAGTAAGACTCTGTCTCAAACAAACAAACAAACAAACAAACAAACAAACAAATAAATAAATAAAATAAGGACTCAGAAGCAGACCTGTCATGTGGTCAGCATAACACGAGTATTTAATTTGTAAAATTAAAATATCTAACATTTTCAGGCTCAAAGCCTATTTCCCAAAATGGTTCCAATCATTTCTTTCTCTCTTAGAAGAAAGCAATGTGGATAAAGACTGTCCCCAGCCCAGCCCTGGGTGCCATTTGTTGAGGGAGAAGATGAGGCTGGACAGAGCTTAGTTTTGCTGCAGTGACATTGCTCTCTCCTGGTCCCACGACCCCAGAATATCATCACTACCAGAAAACACACCAACCTTTGCCCTGGTCCAGCCAGAGGCCCAGAGGGTGCAGAGGTGGTGACAGAGTGAGACCTTATTTTAAAAAGAAAACAAAGCAGGGGTTAGGGCAGCCAGCTGGGGAGCTGGGATCTGCTGCGCTCACCCTAAGCACACTCTGGTGAAGAAAGCTGCCCAAGTCTCCTATCTTACACTTGAAGGCTCAGGCCCTGGAGGCCTATACAACCCACGTGAAATCTCTTTCCAGGGTTCCCAGGAGCTAAGATAGATGCCCATTTGAGCCTGATCTTCCTGAAGGTCTTTGGGAAGCCCACCTCCCAAGACTCCCCCTGATGGGCAGAACTGGTTTTCCTGGGTCCCCACGTTGCTTAGGGAAACAGGTTCTTCTAGCTCCCCAGTGGCCCTTTTGTGCTTACTCTGAGAAGCGAGGTCAGGCCACTGGGTCAGGCTTAGCCCAGAGAGAGTGGGGTGGAGGAGGCGGAAGGTATAACCAGGCCGGGTCCTCTCCACACAGGCTCTCAGGCAAGCTCCCTGGGGAAGCAGCTCCTTGAGGCCCCAGGAACATGGCTGTCCCGTGGCTCGTGCTGCTCTTGGCATTGCCCGTCTTTTTCCTGGGAGTCTTTGTCTGGGCTGTCTTTGAGCACTTCCTCACCGCGGATGTCCCCGCCACCATGGAACAGCGCACGAAGTTGAGAGCCCTGCATTGCGTATTCCTGTATCTGCTCACTTTGGTGAGTTTACTCTCAGCCTGGGGGCTGTTTCTCTTGTTCTCAGTACCTTATCCTCTTCTTCCTCTCTCCCTTCCCTTCTGTCTCTCTCTTCAGACTCCCCCAACATACACTTGTCTCTTCTGTATCTGCTGTTCTGTTTCCCTCTCTCCCCTCTGTTCCTTCCCCCTTCCCTTAGCCAGCTTTCCTCCCTCCTTCCCTCCCTCCCTCCCTGCTTTTGTTTTTTTCTTCCTTCTCTCCTGCTCTCTCTAACTCCCTTCCTTTCATTCTTCAGATAAAACATTTACTGAGTGCCAATCACTGGGCTCTTTTCTGAGAATTCAAAAACAATTTCAGACCTAGTCCCTGCCTTCCACGGGCTTGTGACCCGACAGGGCCCTGCACCTCCTTCAGCCACACCATCTTTCACCCTCGGTGCGCTGACTTGCCTACAGGTTGTTTCTATTCTATTTTGTTTTCTATTTCTGTTTTATTTTATTGAGACAGGCTCTTGTTCTGCTGTCCAGGCTGGAATGCAGTGGTGCAATCATGGCTCAATGCAGCCTTAACCTCCTGGATTCAAGCAATCCTTTCCATCTCAGCCTCCCAAGTAGCTAGCTGGGACTACAGGTGTTCACCACCATGCCTGGCTAACTTTTGTACTTTTGGTAGAGACAGAGTTTTGCTCTGTTGCCCAGACTGGTCCAGAACTCCTGAGCTCAAATGATCTGCCCACCTTGGCCTCCCAAAGTCTAGGAATTACACGTGTGAGCCACCGTACCTGCCTCACAGGTGTTTTCTCCCTGTTAATCTCTGTAAGCCCAGTCCCACTCACAGTGCCTGGCATCTGGTAGGTGCTGTTTGTTGATATAGTCATACATGAATTTATGCAGCATTTCTGAGTGGTGGAGCCAGCTAGGCTCTGAGCCGGGATTGGGGGTTGGGGGTTTGGCGTGGCTCAGCCCACTCCTGGAGTTGCAGTGGTTTTGAAAACAATGGTTTGGCAACTTGCTTGTGACAGGCAACCTGAGTTAACCCATGTCCCAACACCGGGTGGAGTCAAACAGCTCCTACCGATTACAGGGCAGCTGTGGAGGAGGATGGGGAGGCCAAGCTTAATTGACAGCAGGGCTTAGGGATAAGGAACAGACACTCCAGCCAGACTGCCTGAGTGTGTGTGTGTGTGTGTGTCCCAGCTCTGCCGCTCACTCGCTGTGTGGTCCCGCACCATTTACTTACCCTCTCTGTCTCAGCTTCCTCATCTGGGAGGGTTGATGTGTTTAGAGATGTTTAGTGAGTTCATAAAATATGTTTCTGTGCTGCTGGAAGTGTTCCCCATGGGTAACTAACATTCTCTTTAGAGAAATTGTCTTTCATTGAGACAGGGTCTTGCTCTGTTGCCAGGCTGGAATGCATTGATGTGACCGTGGCTCAATGCAGCCTTAACCTCCCAGGCTCAAGCCATCCTTTCCATCTCAGCCCCAGGCTGGTCTAGAACTCCTATGCTCAAGCAGTCTTGTCTTGAAATTGTCTTTTAGAGAATGTTTGTTACCCAGGGGAAATTTACAGAAATGAACGAGTTGAGTTTGCAATGGCAGAAATGCTGCTGACTCAAGGAGGCAGGCCGAGGTCGTAGGAAGTACTCGTCTCTCTCATTTGGAGAGCGGAATCAGCCTGGAATTAGGCTGACTCAAGCCGGTGGCTGCAATCCATGTGGAATTACTGGCTCGGTTAGGGCCCCAGGATTTAAAACAAGGGTCTAAGATGTTCAAGTAGCCCAGAGACATTAAGATTTTTCTAACCTTCAGTGTTTCTCCTCCAAAGTAGCCCACAAGCTAAGCGTCTGCTGTGACAGCAGCTATGGGCTGCTCACAGGAGACTCTGAGATGGGTCTGCAGCAGCTGAAAGGGTGGACTTGGCTTCTGACGCCCTCTCTTGATCCCTCCAGCCCTGGGTCCCCCAGGGCACACTGCCCATCATGGGGTGACGATGGTGAGGGTGAAGACAGCCAGTAGTGAATGTTCATTCAGTTCCAGAGGACAGGTAGACATCACAGGAACAAGAAGTTTGGGAGGACAAGGAAGAAGCTAAAAAGAGTCTATGACCAGGAAATTAAGAGCTTTGTTTTGGTATCAGACTACCCTGGGTCTGAGCTCTGAAGCCTGTACTTACTCGCTTTGTGGACTCATGATTTTGTGCTTTTATTTTCTTCTCTGAAAAGCTATTTTTTTTTTCTTTCTGAAACAGTCTCACTCTGTCACCCAAGCTGGAGTGCAGTGGCGTAAACACCACTCACTCAGCCTCCACCTCCTGGGCTCAAGTGATCCTCCCACCTCAGCCTCCCATGTAGCTAGGACCACAGGCGTGCACCATCACATCACACCTGGCTAATTTTTTGATATTTTGTACAGATGGGGTCTTGCTATGTTGCCAAGGCTAATCTTAAACTCCTGGATTCAAGCAATCCTCTTGCCTTGGCTTCCCAAAAGTGCTAGGATTACAGGCATGAACCACGGTCCATGGCCCAGGTGAGGCCTTTTATAGGGTGATGTGGGGATTAAATAAGAAAGCATCAAAAATGCACAGCACAGTGCTGGGCGCTTAGAAAGGCTCAATCAAAGTTGATCATTCATAGTATGCTTATCAAGTCCCTGAAGGCAAAGATGTAGCATTTCTTTAAGTTATTATAGATTTAAAAGTTGCTAGGAATGCTACTAAAATATATAGAGTAATATAACAAACACTATTGTTTTTCTTTTTCTTTTATTTATTTCTTTTTTTGTTTGTTTGTTTTTTTGAGATAAGGTCTCAGTCTGTCACCAACCAGGCTGAAGTGTAGTGGCACAATCATGGCTTACTGCACCCTCGACCTCTGGGGCTCAGGTGATCCTCCCACCTCAATGTCCTGAGTAGCTAGGACTATAGGCACCTGCCACCACGTCCAGGTAACTTTTTTTTTGTAGAGACGGGTTTTCGCCATGTTGCCCAGGCTGGTCTTGAACTCCTGGGCTCAAGAGATCTGCCTGCCTTGGCCTCCCAAACTGTTAGGATTACAGATGTGAGCCACTGCGCCCGGCCTCTATAGCTTTTCTTTTAAAGGGCAAATGATGCAATATTTGTCAAGGAGTTTCAACAACTATCTAAAATTCTGAACCTCAGATATTTATTTTCTGTAGAGATGGGGTTTCTCCATATTGTCCAGGCTGGTCTTGAACTCCCAGGCTCAAGGGAGGAAAATGGCCCCACGTGGACATGACCCTTGAGCCTAGATATGAAAGTCAGTTTGGTGTCCAACCACCTGCTGGATAGGTAAGAAAGGCTTCCAGGAAACAAAAGGAGGCATGGAGAAGCTCTTAGTGTGTAGGTGAACAGGGCAAACAGCTGGGGAGATTAGAGCTGGAGTCAGCCTATCCCAACAACAGGTGCCATGACCTCAGGGAGCTCATAGCTGAGCAGATGAAGGTTCATAGTGGGACAGCATAGAGGTCTGGGGTTTTCAGATGTGAGTCAGGTAATGGAAAAAGCAGGTGATCTCCACCTTGCAGATCAACTTGTTCTCCAACCAAGGCAAGGAAATCATTATTTTGCTTGGAGTTCCTTTCGGGGAACCCTTTCATGGAGGGAATTGATTGGGGTAGTCTGTGGGACCTTGGACAAGACCCAGTGGGTGCAAGCAAGAGAAAGGGTGGGGCTTGCACTGGCTAGGACCCACTGGGGAGACACTCAATGGAGGTGGTCAGATCCCAACCTCACACCTCATCTTTGGACCATACACACCATGCTTCTGATTTTGTAAACAAGGGAAATTGAAGCTCAGAGACAGTAATGCCCAAGGCTTTTCAGTTAACTGGAGTTGGGCTCAGACTTGAGCTTGGATAGGCTAGGCTCCAGAACCCAAGCTCTTTCTCCGTTAGCAGTTGAGAACAACCCTGGGCAAGGAACTTGACCTTGGCATGCCCTAATTTCCCGATTTGTAAAATGGAGCTGGTAATTGTGCTTGGCTTAGAAAGGTTACTGAGAAGTTGAATCAAGTCAACAATCCAAGTCACTTGGGCAGTACTGGCACATTGTAAATGTCTAATAAGTATCAGCTGTTCTTATTCTTTTCATTCTTATTATCCCTTGCTGTTTTCCTTATGACAAAGACGCTCTCCACATGTGAAGTCTTTGAGAGAGATTATCCAGAATGGCTGAAATGTACTTAGTACGCGAAATATGATGCCTTGTAACTATATTGCATGAAACATTCAGATGTTGACTTGTTTATAATTAGAGTGGTCATGTTAATTTAAAAACACATTATTCCCTTGACCCGAGCCCACAACAGACATCCCTAATGAATCACGTTGCTCTTTTTAGCTGAACACGGACACAGTTAGGAATCCTTCCTAACGCGGAAGAAGAATGTGTTGATGCAGGTGAGGAACTGTCTTTGCATCCCAGGCTGGAGAGAGGCCAGCACAGAGCTACAGAGAGACAGGTTGCTGGTCAGTTGCCGTGGACAATTGGCATCGCTAAGGCAGTGGCTTCTTCCCACTCAGCCCCAAACTAGGCTATCCTTTGGCAAATTCACACCATTATTCAATCAAAAGCCTTTGGGAAGAAAAGATGGAAAACCCAGCCCCCTACCTGGACACAATCCAGAGCCCACTGATTCCTGATGAGCCTCCTTCACCTGCAGGAGGCAGGTGAGAAGCTGCGAAACCGTCCTAACAATTCTAAGTGTCGGGGAATCTACCATCTGGATTCTAACCTCTTCTAATGCCTGGCTTTCTTTTATGATTTCCAACAGGGGAACATACTTGAGAAGCTGGGAATTTGCTCCATGCCCAAATTTGTCCGTTTTTTACATGATAGCATGAGAATTAAAAAGGACCCTGAACTTAGGGTGACTGACCTGCGTTTTGGGACGATACCTGTGAGGCTGTTCCAGCCCAAGGCAGCATCCTCCAGACTCCGGCGAGGCATCATCTTCTACCATGGAGGGGGCTCAGTATTTGGGAGCCTGGGTAAGGGGCTTCCCTGTGGCTTTGTAGAGGTCGGGCCTCATATGCATGCGTAGCTGAGCTCATGCCTCCCGCAAGAACCCTTCTGCAGTAGCTCAAAGGAATCAGTTGTTGGAATTTTTATACGGTTAATAGCCCAGATTAAGGGCTTTGGGCTCAGGTCAGTAGATGGTGTGGCAGCCTACATGGGAAACTTTTTCCTTTCTATAATATGATAGTCTCAGTCAAGATGGGGACAGCAGTGTCATGGTAGGGCTGTCACAGGCGCTGTTGACACCTCTGTCCCCTTTCTGCTTACAGTCATTGGCCTGCCCTGTCTCATGTTCGTGATCCCAAACCCATGTATTTCCCTCTAGCTCTGCAGCGTCGCCATGACCCAGGACCCCATCCTTGCTTGCCTGTCCCCTTGCACCCAGCCTCCCGGCCACCAGTCTCCCTAGTTCACCTCTTGCTCCTCACATCTGGTCCCCACCCAGAAGGATTTTTTTTTTTTTGAGATGAAGTATCAATCTGTCACCCAGGCTGGAGGGGAGTAGTGCAATCGCGTAATCTTGGCTCACCGAAATCTCTGCCTCCCAGGTTAAAGCGATTCTCCTGCCTCAGCCTCCAGAGTAGCTGGGACTACGGGCTCATGCCCAGCTAATTTTTGTATTTTTAATAGAGATGGGGTTTCACCATGTTGGCCAGGATGGTCTCGATCTGCTGACCTCAGGTGATCAAGGCCTCCCAAAGTGCTGGGATTATAGGCGTGAGTCACTGTGCCTGGCCTTAGAGGGATCTTTTAAAAATACAAGGCAGAGCGTGTCAGTCCTGCACTTAAATCTTTCCTGTGCCCTTCCATGAAACCCAAACTCCTCCCACAGCCTCACCTGGGTCACCTGTGTGTCCCTCACCGGTTCACTCAGCTGCAGTCCCGCTACTCGTCTATCTGCTGTAGACACTTCAGCTCCTTCCCACCACCATTCTCCACCTGCTGTTTCCTCGGTCTCAGAGGACATTCTTTCCACCCCTGACACTGCATGGCTGACCACCCCTGGCTCTTTCACTTGTATCTCAACTATCCTTCCCCAGAGTGGCCTTGATACCAGTGGCCTGGGGGAGGTCCCTAAAGACCAGTGGGACCTCAGCTCCAGCTGATGTCCCTGCTCTTGACACCGTCATGAGAATGAATTCAAGGACGAGTCAGAAAATAGTGAAAATACAGAGATTTGTTGCAAAGGGAAAAGCACACACCGAAGAAAAGAGAGTGGGGCGGACTCAAGAGAGACACTCAAGGGGGTTTGGGGCTGCTACCTTTATGTGTTTCTTTAACCAAGAGGTGGAATATTCATGAAACTTCTTGGAAAAAGGTGAAGTTTTCTCAAACTGGGTTGCCACCCATTTGTACACCAAATATGGGTGTCCCCATACCTGTCCTGGTGCTGGTGGATGTGTGCATAATATGCTAATGAACACATAGGGAGGTCCTAGGAGAAACCCAGGTCCAATCTAGTGCCATGTTGGGTCCAGTCGGTCTTAGCCAACTTGGTCCACATCCTGGCTTTTCAGGGTTTTATCAGCTTCCACAGCTGTTTCTTTTCTTTTCTTTTTGAGACGGAGTCTTGCTCTGTCACCCAGGCTGGAGCACAGTGGCACAATCTTGGCTCACGCCACCTCTGCCTCCCGGGTTCAAACAATTCTCCTGCCTCAACCTCCTGAGTAGCTGGGATTACAGGTGCTTGCCACCTTGCCCAGCTAATTTTTGTATTTTTAGTAGACATGGCATTTCACCATATTGGCCAGGCTAGTCTTGAACTCCTGACCTCATGATCCACCCACCTCGGCCTCCCAGAGTACTGAGATTACACACATGAGCCACCACGCCCAGTCTTCTGCAGCTATTCAATAGTTTCCTTTTGCTAGTTGTGTGAAACTGCTGCCTGGAATTTTCTGTTCTGCTACCACCCTGTGTAATTCCTATCTCATGGTTTTCCCCTTAGAGATTTCCGTCTCTTATACTTAGGGGTCGACGAGGGAGGAAGTCAGTCTTCAGTATCTATTTCCTGCTGATCGGGGTGTTGGCCCCGCCTAGTGTGGGCTCGGCAATCTCTGGATGCCTAGTGTATGGGTCTCAAGGGTGGGTCATCAGGAGGATCTGAATCCGAGGTAGGGATTGGTTGGAATCCTGCAGGACCATCCTTTTGACATGGAACTGTTGCAATCTATTAGGTTGGTGCAAAAGTAATTGCTGTTTTTGCCATAAAAGGGGAAAACCATTTGCGCCAACCTAATAGAAGACATAAACTTTAGAAGAAAATTAAACAAGTAAGGACCCAATATTGGAAGTAATAAGACAGCTATTAAAGGTCCCAGGAAAGGTGGGACTCATGTTACACTTGGTCGGTATCCCTGGATGGAATCCCAGGTGGTTTCAGCAGTGAGGTAATTGAAATAATACAGCCGGCCGGGTGCTGTGGCTCACACCTGTAATCCCAGCACTTTGGGAGGCCGGGGTGGGTGGATCACCTGAGTAAGGAGTTAGAGACCAGCCTGATCAACATGGAGAAACCCCATCACTACTAAAAATATAAAAAAATTAGCCAAGCGTGGTGGCTCATTCCTGTAATCCAGGCACTTTGGAGGCCAAGGCGGACAGATCACGTAAGGTCAGGAGTTCAAGACCAGCCTGACCAACATGGTGAAACCCCATCTTTAAATAAATTAAAGAAAAAAAAAAGAAAGAAAAGAAATGACAGAGCCAGATAGGCTGTTGGTAAAACTTTGAATTTGCAGTTCCACTAATCTTGAATCGTTAATATAAGAACGACAGTATGGCTTGTCACTGCACAAACTCCTCCAAGTGGTTTATGCTTTGGTCCTCTTAGGGGATTGTGCAATGGCTTAGTACTGATCTCAAACCCTGGGATCCAAATCCTGTAAAATCTTGGCATAGCCAGGACAGTTCGTTCTAAGTTGCTTCTTTGTTTGTGGAGGTCCTACCTTTAAGATCGCCTCCTTTGATTTGGTGGACAAGATCTGGTTCCCTGGGCTTAGGATGTGCCCTGGGTATTTTATTTCAGGTTTAGAAATCTGGGCCTTGGATGAAGAGAACCTATACCCTCTTTCACCCAGAAAGTTTAGGACCTGAATGGCATTCTTCTCTGTGTCCTCTTTAGTGGGACTGCATATAAGAATAACATCCACATATTAGAGTATCCCCGTTTCTAGCTCTAGCTCCCTTAATTCTCGTGCCAGGAGACGAGATGACACGTGAGTGCCATCCCCTAAGCCCAGAGGCAGCACTGTCCAGGCGTGCTGGTGGTAAATAGTAGTAGTTCCAGAATTGGTCCACTCAAAAACACACAAATACTGAGAGTCAGGTGCAAAGAGACACAAACGAAGCCATCCATAAGATCTAATACCATAAAACCAGTTGGTGTCTCCCACTATTTGGGTAAATATGGTATAAGGATTTGACACTATAGGATGTAAGGGAATTATGTTCTCCTTAATGGCTTGTAAGTCTTTTTTTGTTTGTTTTTGAGACAGAGTTTTGCTCTTGTTGCACAGGCTGGAGTGCAATGGCATGATCTTGGCTCACTGCAACCTCTGCCCCCTGGGTTCAAGTGATTCTCCTACCTCAGCCTTCCGAGTAGCTGGGATTACAGGCATCTGCCACCTTGCCCAGCTAATTTTTTGTGTTTTTAGTAGAGATGGGGGTTTCGCCATGTTGACCAGGCTGGTCTCGAACTTCAGACCTCAGGTGATCCACCTGCTTTGGCCTCCCAAAGTGCTGGGATGACAGGTGTGAGCCACCACACTTGGCCAATGGCTTGTATGTCTTGAACTAGACAGGATTCTCACTTTGGTTTTTGGACAGGGAGGGCAGGCATATTACAAGGAGATCGACCTGGAACGAGGAGGCCATGTTTTAACAGCTTCTCAGTTAGAGGTTGCAGTCCTTGCCTGGCTTCTGATTTGAGAGGATACTGACGCTTGTGTGGGGAATTATTTTTGACTTTTAAAGAGATGATCACTGACTGAGTGCGTATTGCTTTGCCAAGGGTTTCTGATTTCTTGGTTTCATACTTGTGGGTCTACTTGAGACCTTATTTCGGGGTGTTGGGGGGTCTCCTGTTTTTCTGAGGCTGATTTAGAAATAACAAGCCTTGCCAATAAGGAGGGCTTCCCGGCGCCTGATACACTCAAAGCGGATTCATTTATTGGGATGGTTAGACAGTCCCGTCCCAATAAACGAATGGGGCATTTTGGCATAACTAGAAACTCATGAGTTACTATATAGTGTCCCAGCCTGCAGCTCAGGGGTAAAGTAAAGCGCTTTGATTTTGGGGTGCCATCAACACCTGTGACACTGTAGCTCTTGGAGGGTAAAGGTGCAGCATAGCTGTTTAGGGAAGAGTAACTGGCCCCTGAGTCAATTAAGAAGTTAATATTCAGCCGGACGCGGTGGTTCACGCCTGTCATCCCAGCACTTTGGGAGGCCGAGGCCGGCAGACCAACTGAGGTCAGGAGTTTGAGACCAGCCTGGCCAACATGGAGAAACCCCGTCTCTACTAAAAATACAAAATTAGCTAGGTGTGGTGGCGCGTGCCTGTACTCCTGGCTACTCTGGAGGCTGAGTCAGGAGAATTGCTTGAACCTGGGAGGTGGAGGTTGCAATGAGCCAAGACCACGCCATTGCACTTCAGCCTGGGTGACGAGAGCAAAACTCCGTTTCAAGAAAAAAGAAAGAAAGAAAAGAAAAAATGGAAATTTATATTCTTACCAGCCACATCAAGACTCACTGAGGCTCCTAGGTTGTGATGACATGATTTGGTGGGTGCTGCCAGGAACCTTGGGCCTCTTCAGTTCTCAGTTGTGCCCACTATGGCATCGGGTGTCCTCCTCTCCCTTCGGAGCTGCCCTGCCCTGCACCGCTGTCTCCACCCGCCGCTTCATCCTTGTTAATTTTCTTCAGGCACTTGACACAGTAGAGCTTATTTTGTTCCTTCACGGCTTTCCTTGTTTAGTACTTGACTCCCGCACTAAAAATGGAGACTGCAGGAAGTTCTGTTTGTGGCTACATCCGCAGTGCCTGTTGTTTTCATTTTTTGAATTGAATGAATGAATGCACGAATAAATAGATGGATGGATGGGGGAATAAGTGGATGAAAGGATGGGCTTGCGAATGAACAAATGGATCTGGATGTATGGACGGATGCATGGACACACGGGAGAAAAATTTGCCCATAGGAAAAGGCAGGCTGCTGCCGGTACATAATTTCCCCGAGATTAGGATGTGCTGCCACCTAGTGGTGGAAGTGACGATGGCCATTCTCTAGCTGGATCTGTTGTCATGGGAACAGAACCCAGTTCTGGCTTCAGGGACCTGACAGTCCCTGAGGGAGCTGGACACTGAAGCTACTGCAGATTATGCTAACACAGGTGGCATGGAGAATGGCTCACAGCATCATTCCGATTTGGCTCTTCTCATCGGAGAAGTCAGATTTGAGCTCAGGCCCAATGGATGAGGAGGATCTTGCCCCGTGGAAGCCAGAGAAGAGCCTTCTAAGTGAAGTCCGGGGCTAGAGGGAGGCACTTGCTTCAGGTTCTAAATTGAAAGGGTGCCAAAACATTCATTCATCAAGATAGGTAATATTTTAATGCAATGCTTGAAAAAACTAAATATTAATGCCAAACGATTATGATGAACAAAATGTCAAAATGTATATACAGGCAGGGCCGAACAGGGCGGAGCGAGTGGGTAAGGAAAAAGCAGAAGCCTGTTTACACACACACACACACACACACACACACATCTTTTAAGGACAGGGTCTTGCTCTGTCACCCAGGTTAGAGTGCAGTGGTGTGATCACAGGTCACTGCAACTTCCAACTCCTGGGCTCAAGTGATCTTCCTACTTCAGCCTCCCAAGTAGCTGGGACCACAGGCATGCACCACCACCACCAGGTAATTATTTATTGATTTGTTTGCTGGTTTATTTTGAGACAGGGTCTCACACTGTTGTCCAGGCTGCAGTGCAGTGATACAGTTATGGCTCGCTGTAGCCTCAATCTCCTGGGCTCAGGTGATTCTCCTGCCTCAGCCTCCTGAGTAGCTGGCACCACAGACATGTGCCACCATGCCTGGCTAATTTTTAAATTATTTGTAAAGATGGGGTCTCCCTGTGTTGCCCAGGCTAGTCTTGAACTCCTGGGCTCAAGTGATCCTCCCCACCTTGGCCTTCCAAAGTGTTGGGATTACAGGAGTGAGCCACTGTGCCTGGCTTAATTATTTTTATAGAGATGGAGTCTTTCTGTACTGCCCAGTCTGGTCTCAAACTCATGGGCTCAAGTGATCCTCTTGTCTTGGCCTCCCGAAGTGCGGGATTACAGATGTAAGCCACTGCACCCAGCCAGGCCTATGTAAAATTTTGATATTTTGTTCATTATGCAATTTTTTGGCATTAATTGTGATTTCTTTTATTTTTTTATTTTTGAGACAGAGTCTCACTCAGTCTCCCAGGCTGGAGTGCAGTGGCACCATCTCGGCTCACTGCAACCTCCGTCTCCTGGGTTCAAGTGAGCCTCCTGCCTCAGTCTCCCAAGTAACTGGGATTACAGGCACTCGCCACCATGCCCGGCTAATTTTTGTATTTTTAGTAAAGATGGGGTTTCACCATATTGGCCAGGCTGGCCTCAAACTCCTGACTTCATGATCTGCCTGCCTCAGCCTCCCAAAGTGCTGGGATTACAGGCATGAGCCAGGGCATCAATATTTTTCAACAGCTCATCAGATGACTGCAATGTGCAGCCAGGACTGAGACCTACTAGTATGGAAACTTCACCTTAGGGGTTCCGACTCAGTTTAGCCCCTCTGTGCCTCTGGCTCCACTCAGAACCATTGTCACTCTCCTCAAAGAGCATTAATGAAGCACGCACCCACTTCAGAAACCTCCCCAAACCCTGGAATTACCTGGTATGATTTAGAGAATCCTACTGCCTGAGCTTCCACACTAGAGAATCTGATCCATTTGGTTTGAGGTTTAGCTTGGGCCGGAGGACTTGTATAAACTCCCCAGTACCTCTATGTATGGCTGAAGTTGAGAATGACTCAGTTAGAAAGAAGTGTATTTGGCACTGATTCTGTGCCCACCACTGTGCCATATATTCTATGGCCTTGTAGTAACAGACCTGCCTCTGAGACCTTCATATGCACCACTCTACTAATAGAAACGCCCCCTCCAAGCACTGTTTATTTCCTGATCAATATCAATAGACAGTTACCGTTCATACCCCAGGGCAGGCATGCCTAACTTCCCTTGGTCTCGTCCACTTCTGATCACTAAGATTTCCAGGTTCCTGGTTTCCTCCACTGTAAAATAAATGTTGCAGAAAGTGAGCCCCAAGGTGCATTTGAGCCCCAAAATTTGGGAGGTGGGGGACAGATGTCTGATTTGGCCTGGCTTATTGTCTCTGGCCAGGCAGAGCCAGCCAGAGTCACGTCAGAGGTGGCAAGAGCAGAAACAGAGAGAGGAAGCCATAGCCCACACCAAGACGGTCAGCTGGCTCTTCCTGGGGGCTGCGGCGAGATGGTCTGGGCCCTACTCATGGGCTGCTCCTCTGACTTTTTTCTCTTGCAGATTGTTACCATGGCCTGTGCAATCATCTGGCCCGGGAGACTGACTCTGTACTTCTGATGATTGGGTGAGTTGCTGGAGATAGCTTGTGGGTTTCACAGGTGTGACAGGAGACAGGGTAAGTTCATGGGTGATTTGTAGATCAGAGACGCCCTGATTCCCAAGAGGCAACTGTTGGATATGCATCCACAGAGACAGGAGCAGGAGTGCTCAAAAGAGCAGAAACCTGGAAACAACGCTCAGGCCCATGAGAGGGCACGTGAGCAGGGCTGAATAAACCACAGTGTGGCGACTGTTCGATTCCATAACTACAAAGATACTGCGGAACGTTACATAGCCATTTAAATATGAACTGGAAAGGTATACCATATTGCAAACGAATCTTAGTAGTATGAAACTATGTGAAAATTTTTCAAAAAATTACATAAAGCCAGGTGCTCATTTTGCAAAGGTAAAAATGTTCAAACCAGAAGAATACTTTCCAAGAGTCCACATAGACACAATAAGACAATGGAACATAGAAAGAAGAAAATGATAGAAACAGGATTCAGGGTAACCCTTCCTTAAGTTGGGGGAGAAGCGAAATGGGATGGTGGCGGGGTTGGTGAAGGTGAAGGTCGTTTTCTGGCTGTTGTTTGAGATGATGGTCCTGCAGGTGCTGATTGCATTGTTACACACTAAGCCTCTGGTCCTGCAGAGACTAGTGCTAAGAGTGTCTTAAGGTCTGTCTCAAAAAAAAAAAAAAAGATACAACTCTGGTTCAGTAAAAAAAAAAGGCGGGGGGAGATGAGGGCATCTTTAGAGTGGATGGAGGGGGCAGTAGGGGCTACTCACTAGGATTCTGGTTCTTGGCCCAAGAGATCTCACACCACTGGGAAAGAGTTTAGAGAAGGGCTGTGAGAGAAATTAAAATCTGCCTTTTTAGATCCTGCCTTTACAATGAAACGCCTCAAACAGTAGCTGCCCCTAGGCTTTGGTAGACAGAATAGCCGTGTGGCTTAAACAAAGTCACTGAGCATCTCTGGTCCTCCCTGATGAGACTGAGGAAGCCAGCACTTTCTACTATTCATCAACATACCTCTCAGGTGGCTTGTCATTGTGTCTGAAATTCCACCATTACAGTCCATGTCACCAAAGGCCTTTGTGATAATAAAAAGATCCCTTGAACTGGTAGCACATAAAGGTATCAATAAGCACCTGCCTTAATACCTTGTAGGAAATTGCTTAGGATACCATTATCCCAGGTACTTAGAAAGACCTGGTGCATGGGCCAGGGCAGTTTTGATAGAGTGGCTGATGGAGCTGCATGCACAGATAAGGGATTCAAGGAGGCTGCAGCGGGACAGTAGCTGGGAGGAGACTCCCTGAGAGACACTGAAGGAAGGAAGATGTCTAAGGCCTGGATGGGACTCCCTACCTGAGCTCTTGGAGAAGACGGGTCTTTCGACCTTCGGTTCTGTGAAGCCTTCAGCTCGGGGTGGGTTTTCTTAATTTGGGCTGCTATGCCAAATTACCATACATGGGGCAGCTTAAACAACACATTGATTTCTCACAGTTTTGGAGGCTGGAAGTCCAGGATCAGCGTGCCAGCATGGTCAGGCTCTAGTGAAGACCCTTTTCCAGGCTGTAGACTGCCAACTTCTCCTTGTATCCAAACATGGCAGAAGGAGAAGCTAGAGAGTTCTCTAAAGCCTCCTTCATAAGGGCACTAATCCCGTTCATGAGGGCTGCACCCTCATGGCCTGGACACTTTCCCAAGGCCCCACTTCCTAACACCCTCACATTGCAGTGTAGGATTTCAACATGGGAAATTTGGGGGGACACACACATTCAGTCCATCACAGTGAGCAAGAGAGTGCAGGCAGGCACAGGAGAATTTCCACCTCTTTCTGTCAGGTCAGAGATTTTGCTGACAGAAAGTACCTAATATTTGTTATCCCCTTCATCATGTTGGAGCTGAATAGTCAACATTTGGTGAGGAGTATTCACTTCTAGAAATGGAAAAATGAAAGCTGAGGTTTGTGCTCATGGCTGCCAGGTGCAGGGGGCCACCTCCCTGCAGGGACCCTCTAAGAAGCATGTGTTTTGCCTGAGCTTTTGTGGAAACCTGTCTTGATAACATTTTATTTATTTATTTTTTTGAGATGGAGTTTCTGTCTTGTTGCCCAGGCTGGAGTGAAATGGCACTATCTCGGCTCACTGCAACCTCTGCCTCCTCCTGGATTCAAGCGATTCTCCTGCCTCAGCCTCCTGAGTAGCTGGGATTACAGGCATGCGCCACCACGACTGGCTAATTTTGTATTTTTAGTAGAAATGGACTTTCTCCATGTTGGTCAAGCTGGTCTGAAACTCAAACTTAGGTGATCTACCTGCCTCGGCCTCCCAAAGTGCTGGGATAACAGGTGTGAGCCATTGCACCCGGCCCAACATGGACAGATTTATCAATATATTGACCATCTAGGAAATGGGCAATAATATTATTGGACACTGTTTCCTAGATGGGCACTATATTATGCTGCAGTCAACCAAATTCTATTTTGAAAGATGAAGCTTTAAAGTAACTTTTAAAGGAAACAAAATTTAAGGTCTAATAGAAGGCAGTGGTTTTCAAACTGGTTCCCTTGAACCCTAGGGTTCCCTGTGATGTCTTACAGACAACTTTGGCAGTCAAAGAAGAAGGAGAAAGAGTGAGGGCTTAGGTTCCTTACCCTTGGGCAAAACCAGAACAGCCGCATTTGTTTATTTTATACGGTGGGGCTCATAAATCATTTTTTTCTACTCAGAAAAAAATAATTTTATTGTCCTAAGTTGAAAGCTACTAAAGTGTCATTTTTCCTTATGAGCTTCTTCCAAATGTAATGCAATAATTAGAATATACCTTTTTGATATTTTCTTTTTTTTTTTGAGACGGAGTCTCGCTCTGTTGCCCAGGCTGGAGCGCAGTGGCGCAATCTCACTCACTGCAACCTCTGTCTCTTGGGTTCAAGTGATTCTCCTGCTCAGCCTCTTGAGTACCTGGGATTACAGGCTCCCACCACCACACCCAGCTAGTTTTTTATTTTTAGTAGAGACAGGGTTTCACCATATTGGCCAGGCTGATCTTGAACTCCTGTCCTCAGGTGATCCACCCACCTTGGTCTCCCAAAGTGCTGGGATTACAGGGGTGAGCCACTGCGCCCAAGCTTGATGTTTTCAATGATAGATTGTAAGAACAAAACAGATGATTAGCAACAACCTCAACTTAAAATTTAAGAGAACAATTGTTTGGATAAACTCTGCTCCAATCAGTTAAGCCAAACTTTCTATTTTTTATTCTTTCCTTTCTATTATCTTAATTTCAATTTATGCATTAGGTAGGTTGTGTCTTACTATTTTTAAAAGTTTTTTTTTGTTGTTCAGAGTCTTGTGCTGTTGCCCAGGCTGGAGTGCAATGGCACCATCTCAGCTCACTGCAACCTCTGCCTTTTGGTGTCTGTCACCACGCCGAGCTAATTTTTGTATTTTTAGTAGAGGCAGGGTTTCACCATGTTGGTCAGGCTAGTCTCAAACTCTTGACCTCAGGTGATCCACCCCCCTCGGCCTCCCAAAGTGCTGGGATTACAGGCGTGAGCCACTGTGCCTGGCCTTAAAATCTCATTTTAAAGTTCCTTTTCTTTGTCCTTGACTTACTTTGAGGAGATATACTTTGGAAACCAAACCTTAGGATATTTAAGACCAACTTCCTAGTGTTCTTCACCAGCCACTGGCACCTGGGTCTTCTGCAGCATGAGCTGTGTGTCTCCAGGCTAGCTTTCTGTCTCTACAGGGCACCTTCAGAACATTTCCAGCCCCTCTTGCCTCCCACACTGGAGTGCAGGGTACAATCACAACGCACTGCAGCCTCAACCTTCTGAGATCAAGCAGTCTTCCTGCTTCAGCCTCCTGAGTATATATAGCCACTATATATGCCTAGCCAAATTTTTTTTTTTGAGACGGAGTTTCGCTCTTGTTACCAGGCTGGAGTGCAATGGCATGATCTCGGATCTAGGCTCACCACAACCTCCGCCTCCTGGGTTCAGATAATTCTCCCACCTCAGCCCCCCGAGTACCTGAGACTACATGGTGGTGCGCACCACCACGCCCAGCTAATTTTTGTATTTTTAGTAGAGATGGGGTTTCACCATGTTGACCCTGATAGTCTCGATCTCTTTACCTCATGATCCACCTGCCTCGGATTTTTGATTTAAAAAATTCTGGCTGGGCCGAGCACGGTGGCTCACGCCTGTAATCCCAGCACTTTGGGAGGCTGAGGCAGGTGGATCACAAGGTCAAGAGATTAAGACCATCCTGGTCAACATGGTGAAATCCCGTCTCTACTAAAAACACAGAAAAATTAGCTGGGCATGGTGGCGCGTGCCTGTAATCCCAGCTGCTCAGGAGGCTGAGGCAGGAGAATTGCCTGAACCTAGGAGGCGGAGGTTGCGGTGAGCCGAGATCGCGCCATTGCACTCCAGCCTGGGTAACAAGAGCGAAACTCTGTCTCAAAAAAAAAAAAAAAAAAATTCTGGCTGGGTGCGGTGGCTCATGCCTGTAATCCCAGCACTTTGGGAGACCGAGGAGGGTGAATCACGAGGTCAAGAGATTGAGACCACCCTAGCCAACGTGGTGAAATCCCATCTCTACTAAAAATACAAAAAAATTAGCTGGTGGTGACGGCGCAGAGCTGTAGTCCCAGCTACTCGGGAGGCTGAGGCAGGAGTATCGCCTGAACCTGGGAGGTGGAGGTTGTAGTGAGCCGAGATTACACCATTGCACTCCAGCCTGGCAACAGAGCAAGACTCCATCTCAAAAAAAAAAAAAAAAAAATCTGCCTGAAAGTGACATCCCTTTGACTTTAGTGTTCTCTCCCCCTTTCTCTACAGACATGCAGTGGGACTGGCAGTGGTTTCGTTTCCTTTTTTTTCAGCCATTGCTGGTTGTTTTGCTCCCGAAGCAAATAGCTTCAGTGAAAGCAAAGTTGCGTCATCTCATAGGGAGTTTACGGGAAGCAGACGGAGCACAGGCTTGGAGTAGAAAATCCCGGCCTGTGTGAATCTAGGCAGGTCCTTCACATGCTCAGAGGAAGACAATGGGGATAAAATCCTTACTTCATAGGGTTATTCTGAGGATTTAATTAGATACGGTCTTGTGAGGAGGGCTGAGGATTCTGTTGGAACAGCCCCCTGGCCACACTCCACACTGGCCTACCGTCACTCCCTGCTTTCCTCTTAGGTACCGCATGGTTCCTGACCACCATTCCCCTGCCCTTTGCCACGACTGCATGAATGCCTCCATTTACTTCCTGAAGGCCCTGGAAACCTATGGCGTGGACCCCTCCAGGGTTGTGGTCTGCGGAGAAGGCATCGGAGGCGCAGCGGCGGCCACCGTCACCCAGGCCCTGGTGGGCAGATCGGATCTTCCCCGGATCCGGGCTCAGGTTCTGATCTCTCCAGTTGTCCAAGTGTTCTGTTTGCAGTTACCGTCCTTTCAGCAGAACCGAAATGTCCCGTTCCTTTCCCAGAAGTTCATGGTGACCGTTCTGTGTAACTATCTGGCCATTGACCTCTCCTGGCGCGATGCCATTTTGAACGGCAGTTGTGTACCCCCGGATGTCTGGAAGAAGTATGACAAGTGGCTTAGCCCTGACAACATCCCCAAGAAATTTAAGAAAAGAGGCTTCCAACCCTGGTCTCCGGACCCTTTTAATGAAGCTGCCTATCTAGAAACCAAACACATGCTGGATGTAGAAGTTTCTTCCCTGCTAGCAGATGATGAGATCATCGCGCAGCTTCCTGAGGCCTTCCTGGTGAGTTGTGAGAATGACATACTCCGTGATGACGGCTTGCTCTATAGGAAGCGCTTGGAGGACCAGGGGGTCCGTGTGACATGGTACCACCTGGAGGATGGTTTTCACGGATCCCTTATCTTTTTTGATAAGAAGGCTCTCTCTTTCCCATGCTCCCTGAAGATTGTGAATGCTGTAGTCAATTATGTAAAGGGCATATGATAGTAACCCTGGAGCCCCGAGGAGGAAGGGGCAAGCATAGACTCTACCAGAAACTGGGTGCTTTAGTGAGTTCTACTCTATTGGTTAAAGCGGTGCTACGTCAATGCTTGGGTCAGCTGGGAAGGGTGAGATGGAGGCTGATAGTCTTGCTTAGTATTCAAGAAAATCCCAACTCTGTGCGTTTCCTTTTGTCACTAACAGTGTCCAGTTCCGGATCTAGCAGCATTCTGTAACATTCCATTCAGGTGAAATAAATATCAATGAAATAAATAAATAAATATCAAAAGGAGAAGAAAAGTGGCTTTAAAAATTTCTCGAAGGCCTAACATATAAGACCTGTGCAGAATAAATGCCAACAACTGGTCATGCTGTCAGCGGTGAATCTATACCCATGATGACAAGATACTGCTCGGGGCTGTGGAGCCTGTTGGAGGAGGGGGCACTTAATTGTTCCTGTGGTCAAAGGTCACTGGTCAAATCCCAACTTTGATAGGCTCCAGCTAGTCTGAGAAATGCTGTTGCAATGAAATTCTATCCTTGACACAGCCACCCTTGGGCTGGACTAAATGAAGATCTCAGAGGGGATTGTGGGAAAGAGAGGGAGGGACAGAGAAAGAGGCAGGAGGAAAGGTACAGAAGAAAAGGGTGGGCTCTGGGGAGCTGTGAGCTTTGCCTGGGCTCAAGTCTTTCATCTGAGTTTCAAAAACAGACCACTGGCTACTAACAGGCAGGTTCACCAAGTCAGTGATGTCTTGGGAACCTCTGGATGCCATCTGGAATATAAAAAATGTCTTTCCTCCATCCTGGCCAACATGGTGAAACCCCATCTCTACTAAAAATGCAAAAATTAGCTGGGCATGGTGGCATGCACCTATAATCCCAGCTACTCAGGAGGCTGAGGCAGGAGAATTACTTGAACCTGGGAGACGGAGGTTGCAGTGAGTCAAAAATCATGCCACTGCACTCTAGCCTGGGCCACAGAGTGAGACTCTGCCAGAGGAAATAAATAAAAAAAATAAAAACTGCATTTCCTAAGGGATTAAGCCTCTTTTCTTTGATGAGCTTGTATATTGTTCTCACATTTATAAAGAACCGTGCCCTGGTTTAGCCATACCAATTCTCTGCTCACAGGAAAAAGAAAGGGAACCTTTGTATTGCATGTTGGAGGTGACCCACACTAGTTTTTGCATTGAGACCATGTATCCTAGATATATCTGTAATACCCACAGGCCTCAGTGCTGTCAGTATCACCAAAGTCCCTCCCAAATGCTGAAGCTGGAGGTTCTTCCAACCAAAACCTCAGTGGGTACCAACGACCTCACCTATGACTGATGGAAGAGGGGGTCCTACAGGTGTCTTGGTTCTTTGCAAAGAGAGCAGGCATTCAAACAGGCAATCTGGATTGGGCACCTGGGGGCATGAGCAGACATTGTGACTCATGGATTATATGTAAGCAGCTTTGATGGAAAGCTGTGTTAATTATCTATTGATGTGCAACAATATTGCCACAAGCATGATGGCTTAGACAATACACATTTATTAGCTCACAGTTTCTGTGGGTCAGGAGCCTGAGCATGGTTTAGCTGGGTTGTTGGCTTGGGGTCCTGCAAAGCTACAGTCAAGGTGTTAGGGCTGTGGTCTCATCTGAGGCTCAGTTGGGGAAGGATCTACTCTCAAGCTTGGTCAGGTTGTTGGCAGAATTCAATTCCTTGTGATTATAGACTGAGAACTTCAGTTTCTTGCAAGCTGTAGTCTCAATCTCAGCTTCTAGAGGTCACCTACAGTGTCTTAACACACGAAATTCTCCAAATGACTGCAAGGAAGAGATAGACTCAAGCAAGGTAGCTATTAGAACTAACGTAAGGTAATCACAAACACATATCACATACATATCATCACCTTTTCTACTGGTGAGAAGCACGTCATAATCCTTGTCCACAAGGGTATGACCACCATGGGGTGGGGACCATGAGGCCACATTAGAGCATGTCTTACACGGAAGGCTCACCAAGAGGTGTTGGGAAGAACAGTCAACCCAAATTCTCAGCTGGAGAAACTCAGGATGGTCTGTAACCATTGGCTTGACGTGGAGCTAGTGACCGATGGTTCCTCCAGTAGAGTTCTCTCTTTCCCCAATTCTAACTCTCCCTTCTCCCACTGTCATTACTCCCATTTGCCTTCCATGGGTGGAGTAATTTGCACCTTCCTCTAAGCTCTTCCAAGCATGTTTTTATGACATAAACTCTATGTCCTTGCATTAGGTAGGGTCCAATCAGGAGAAATAAACCATACCAGCAGTCTTTGTCTTTTCTCTTAAAAGTCTTTATCAGCCTCTAAATACCATCAAATCTTCATAAGCCATTTTCTACCTCTGAGAACCTAGCTAACACTTATATCTGGGAACACTTGTAAGAAATTGTGAACACAGAAATCACTAGACTCTGGTTCTGAATTGGCACCAATCTTGAGGACAGTGTTTCTGTGGCTTTCTCAGTCAAAGTGGGGCTTTCTGTGGTCAGGTGACAGATGAAGTCTTGCCTCAAGTCCAACTCATATTGGGCTCAATTTGTCCACAGACACATATGTTCACTATATCTCTAGTGCCTCAATATATCATGGAAATAGACACATGTGGAAACTGGCAGAATCCCACATTGGCTCTATGATCAAATAAATGAGGGTCATTATGGCAGGAAGCACTATGTGGAAGACCCTGAACCTTCTCCTCCTTACCAAGATAATAAGCCAGAAGCAGTCTGCCCCCCACAGGGAACTGCAGAGGTTCATACCATCCTAAAAGATTTCTAAAAAGCACCTATCACACCCTGATCTAGTTCATCAGTTTGAAATGTGCAGAAGTCTGATCGACCTTGGAGAATGCATAGGAGTGATTCTAAAATTACTCATGCAGTGATTTCCATTGCAGCTGTTTTTCCAGCTGTAGCATCATATTGGAACAAGTAAACACAGCTCCTGGTACTTGGTAGGCAGCTACTGACCTGGAAGCTACCTTTTGGTTCCATACCAATGTGTAAGGAATACCAGAAGCCACTTGCTTTTATCTGGCAGGGCTAACAGTATACCTTTACAGTCTCGCCTCAGGGCAATGTCAATATTGCTTTCTGCTCTAAAAGAGTCATTAGAGATTGTAATTGCTCTGACATCCCAGAAAGCATCATGATAATCCATTACACTGATGGCATTATGCTTATTGGATCTGTTTAAGCAGGAAGTAGCCTGTAGCTTAGAATACCTTAGGAAGACATGTGCAAAGTGAAAGAAACTCCAAAACAATTAAGGGACAGCCACATCAGTGAAATTTCTGGTGGTTCAGTGATGTGGAGAATGTTGAGATATTTACTCCAAGGTGAAAGACAAGAGGCTGCACCTGTTCCATCTACAGTGAAAAATGCACACTGCTTGGTAGGGTTTTTGGATTTCGAAGGCAACATCTACCACATTTGTGCCAGCTATTTCTCTGCAGCTAGAAAACTCCCCACAGCCTGACTGCCTGCCTATTTCGAGTGGGGAACAGAGCAAGAGAAGGCTCTGTAGCGGGTTCAGGCTGTTATAGAAGCTGCTCTGCCCACTTGGGAACCCTAACATTGACTGAATTACTGGCATATTAATTATTAATGCCAGCCAGCCAGTACATTCATTCATAGAGAGGCACTGTCAACCTCTGCCCTCCAATGCAGTGAATATAGGTTCTGCTCAGTGAATCTCCAAATTGGAAACAGTGCTTTCTCTTTTCTTTTCTCTCTCTTTTTAAAATTTCTATTTTATTTTATTTTTTTGAGAAAGGGTCTGGTTTTGTTGCCCAAAGCCAGAGTGCAGTAGAGAGTGGAAGGCAGTGGTGTGATCTTGGCTCACTGTAACCTCAGCCTCCTGGGCTTAAATCATTCTCCCACCTCTGGTTCCCAAGGAGCTGGGACCTGATATGCTCCACCATGCCAGGCTAATTTTTTGGTATTTTTGGTAGTGATGGAGTTTTGCCATGTTGCCAAGGCTGGTCTCAAACCCCTAAGCTCAAGTGATTCTCCCTCCTCAGCCTCCCAAAATGCTAGGATTATAGATATGAACCACAGCACCTGGCAAACAATGCTTTCTTTCCAGAAGTACCATGTTTGCCCCTGGGGCTGAAGTTCTTATGTGGAAGCCACATATTAACTTATCCTCTTTCCCCCAAATATACTAATTTGTATTTTTTCCTAAGAGAAGAAAGCCTTGTATGTATTTTTTGCATAGTTAAAGAAACACTACCGTGGCACTGAAATGCACCCAGGCCAGCATCACCTCACGGCCCAGGGTTACTGCGAACGATACCATTACCTTAGATTTCCTTCTTATGGGCCAAGGTTGAGTCTGTGTAATTGCTAATACATCTTGTTATGCCTGAATCAATGCCACCGGCCAAGCAGAAAAATCAATACAAACACTTATAAAGCAAGCCACCTAGCTTTCTAAGGTAAGCCCAGATGGTTGATCAGATTTGTTCAACTGGTCAGGTCTCCCGTAGATTAGCCTGATCCTGCTGCTTGGGGTCCTGGAGATAGTAGCCTTTACTAAATGCTTTACAAGATAAATTGGAGATTCCCCCTGTCCCCAGCCTTTGTCAGACAGATTAACTGGAGTGGCTTAAGACATGACATACTTATGGAAAAATATCCCAGAAGCCAAGATCAAGTAGAAATGAGGGGTGAAGATTGCAGGGAGATGAGTCTCCCTGGGTCTCTCACATTTCTTTGCTTCTTTGATCCAGATTGTCTTTTTGAAGATATTTGTAGAGTAATCCACCTTGGAAGCTAGAGAGAGTGTTTCCTCTTGCATCAGGGGCAAGTTTATTTACTGTGTAGTATCATAAAGATAATAGAAAATTCGCTTACGTTCTTTGCAGATTTTTGGATATTGGATCTTTGTCAGTTGGGTAGATTGCAGAAGCTTTCTCCCATTCCATAGGTTGCTTGTTCGCTCTGATGATTGTTTCTTTTGCTGTGCGGAAGCTTTTCGTTTAATTGGATCCCATTTGTCAACTCTGGCTTTTGCTGCCATTGCTTTTGGTGTTTTCATCATGAAGTCTTTGCCCGTGCCTTTATTCTGAATGGTATTGCCTAGGTTTTCTTCTATGGTTTTTGTGCTTTTGGCTTTACATTTAAGACTTTAATCTATCTTGAGTTAACTTTTGTATAAGGTGTAAGGAAGGGATCCAGTTTCAGTTTTCTGCTTATGGCTAGCCAGTTTTCCCAGCGCCATTTATTAAATAGGGAATCCTTTCCCCATTGCTTGTTTTTTGTCAGGTTTGTCAAGAATCAGATGGTTGTAGATGTGTGGTGCTATTTCTGAGGTCTCTTTTCTGTTCCATTGGTTTATGTGTCTGTTCGGTATGAGTACCATGTTGTTTTGGTAACATGTGATATAGTTTGAAGTCAGGTAGCGTGATGCCTCCAGCTTTGTTCTTTTTGCTTAGGATTGTCTTGGTTATACAGGCTCCTTTTTGGTTCCATATGAAATTTAAAGTCGTTTTTTTCTAATTATGTGAAGAATGTTAATAGTAGTTTGATGGGAATAGCAGTGAATCTATAAATTACTTTGGGTAGTATGACCATTTTCACGACATTGATTCTTTGTGTCCATGAGGATGGGCAAAGGATATGAACAGATACTTCTCAAAAGAAGATGTTTACGTGACCAAGAAACATATGAAAAGATGCCCAACATCACTGGTCATTAGAGATATGCGAATAAAAACCACAATGAGATACCATCTCAGTCAGAATGGCGATTATTAGAAAGTTAAGAAACAGTAGATGCTGGCGAGGCTGTGGAGAAATAGGAGTGCTTTTACACTGTGATTGGAGTGTAAATTAGTGCAACTATTGTGGAAGACAGTATGGTGATTCCTCAAGGATCTGGAAACAGAAATATCACTTGACCCAGCAATCCCATTACTGGGTATATACCCAAAGGATTATAAATCATTCTACTATAAAGATACATACACACACATATTTATTGCAGCACAGTTTACAAGAGTGAAGACATGGAACCAACCCAAATGCCTATCAATGGTAGACTGGACAAAGAAAACGTGGTACATATACACCATGGAATACTATGCAGTATGAGTATGTCCTTTGGCATGAGATCAGAAAGAATGAGATCATGTCCTTTGCGGGGACACGGATGAAGCTGGAAGCCCTCATCCTCAGCAAAGGAACACAGGAACAGAGAAGCGAACATCACGTGTTCTCACTTGTAAGTGGAAATTGAACAATGAGAACACATGGACGTAGGGAGGGGAATAACACACACCGGGGCCTGTTGAGGGGTGGAGGGCACAGGGAGGGAGAGCATTAGGACAAATACCTAATGCATGTGGGCCTTAAAACCTAGATGACAGGTTGATAGGTATGGCAAACCACCATGGCACCTGTATACCTACATAACAAAC